ATAAAATCTTCACCTTCATTTCACACACGTACACCTGGTGCCTTGCGAGATACAACAGCAGCACTAGGGCAAGGAATCGTTGCACACCGTGGACCAGGAGCTGAAGCCCATCCACACAAAGTACAAGCGTGAACTGAAGATGAGGTAAAATCATGTGAACATGAGGGGCTTTGTTCTTTATTGCCTCAATGTGGTGCCATGCGGTGGCATTTGGCTGGACGAGTCGCTGACTCGACAACTGCTTGATAACAGCACTACCACTAACAACAGGCCCTGTAATATAATTTTCTGATTCAACTTCACTAAAACCAGAAAAGGGGTCACCTTCCTCTGACTTGTCACCAAAAGTATCCTTATACTGCAAATATCCACAAGAACTATGTGGTCGGGAGCGAATTGGTGTAGAGAGTGGACGAGGAAGCAGTGGAGGCAGTGGTGAATATGTAGGCCTCACCCTGGGAGCAAGCTGGATCTCATCCTCACTCTGTTAGATTCACATCGTACTCCTGTGTATAATCTTTATCGATGTCAGAGTCATCAATATCACTTTCCTCACCATCAGAAAATAATTCAGTATTAAGTTCATCCTCAGTCAATGATTGTGGGGTGCGGTGCATTGAGCGAGGCTGAGGCAAGGTGTCAGGGTGCTAATATCTTCTCTGCAGTATTTATTTTGGAGCTCTCTACATTTCTTATATTTCCACTTTGTCTTGGTTAATTTAGTATCCTGCAACTTCCTGAAATGGAACTTGATCGGACCTCCTGATCATTCACGACCTGTCGAGGCTGAACCAGTTCATTCCTTGCCCTCGTTCCAGATGATTACCTTTTCCCAGGTTCCTCTTTTACTAAAGGTGGACACTTGGATGATCTCCCTGGACCTCTGGGATTCATAGTGGCACATCACTATACATCTGAAGTTCATGGATTGGTTAGGTATTGTGATGGGGCAGATGGCTTAATGCTTTCTGGTTCTCTCACTTGGTCTCAATCTGGCTCCACGTATGTTTACATGCTTAGATTGAGTTGTAATGGCTCCTTTTCGTTTGTTGGGGCTTCATGTTTTAGCCTACCTTGATGACTGACTGGTGTGGGCTCCTAGTCTGTCTGAGTGTCTTCTAGCCAGGGATTTGGTTCTTTCCTAGCTCACTGGGTTCAAGTTCCTGGTGAACTGGCAGAAGTGCCAGTTGGTTCAGTCCCAGGTTCAGACTTGGCTGGGCCTCTTGTGGGACTCTCAATTGGTTTTGCTTTCCCTTCCTCCACTGGCTTTGATCCAGCTGCAATGCTGCTTTCTTGCTGCCTGGTGCTGAGTCGGCCCCAGGTGACTCAACGGTTGCGAAGTGTGGGAGCCTGAACTTTTGCTGCATAGTTTTCCTCAGGACAAAGTGGTCTCTGGGGGCTGTTCTGGTATCTCTGGTTCAGTCCCTTTATCCACTGTTCTGTCTCTAAAGGCATTTTGGGGTTCAGTTCCCTGGTGCCTTCCTCTGCCCTTGCTTGACGTTTTCACAGATGCCTCGACTCCGGGTTGGGGCTATGTAACCAACACTCAACAGGCTGGCCAAGGTCATTGGTCTCCCTTTTGTTATGTGCACAGTATGGTGCAGGAGTTTGCAGTTGTTACATGCTGGGTGTAGGGATACAATTCCTTTGAGCTCTGTGCTGCAGCTTCATTTGGACTGTTTCCCCATGGTTCATTACCTTAACCAAGGGGAGTTCATACCAGTCCCCTGCCCTTTGGAGCTGAATGCTTTGAGTAGCTCTTCTGCTGTTTTTTTGGGGTTTGGCTTTCTGTGCTGTTCATGTTCAGGGAGTGTCCATTGTTTTCATGGATAGTCTGTCTCGGTTCCTTCCTGTCTCCACTTAACCCCTTAACCCTTAACACTTTCGCGCTCTCCGCAAAGGTCACTCAGCCAACCGAATGTGCGCGCTGCGTTTTTATCGCTTAAGCGTAAAAACAAAAATGTGTATACTCTTTTTACTCTTCTGACCTTAGTTCTCATGCTACGTATTTCATTTTGGTACCAACGTGTTTGCAATAAAATTCTCTAGAAGAACATCAGTAAAAAAAGTCACGAAACGTATAGGGATACCAGCACCAAATAAATAATTACGAAGATGACTCGCCGTGAGCGCCCATCAGCAACAAAATGTTTTTACTCTTGGGATTGTAATCACCTCCACACTTGTTCTACAGCGTTAATTTTGGTATCAATGGATTCGCAATGAAATTCCCAACACGGTGATATGAATATAAGCGTAGAATAATGATTGCGGCCCGCCCGCAAGAGTGTGGGAACTGGTGAAATTGTTACCCAGTATCGGTGACGGGACGACGCACGGCGCTTTGAAAGTTTATACTTATTTCACTCTCATGACATTAATTTTCTATGTACGTCATTCATTTTTGCATCAATGTGTTCGCAATAGAATGTTCTATGTGCCCATAGGTAAAAAATATCAACAAAGCGTAAATTAGAATAGCGCCAAATATAAAACAACGCTGGAACATATCAGTGAGCGTCAAACACGCACGAAATGTTTTTACTTTTGTTATGTTTGTCAAGTTTATACTTGATGCACACAGTTATTTTTGGTTGTATATTGATCGGAATAAAATTCCCTAAACAGACATATGCATATAATACATGATATGGGGGAAGCATTACCAGTATAAACGGCTAAAGTCTTAACATGCTAGGGGTATAATATCCTTTCTTCCCCACAGGCGCATGTAATTTTGAAAAAAAAAAAATATTTTTCTTCCTAACCTGTTAATTTGTGTTTACTGATCATGGGAAAAATAATAAAAAAATCGTAAGTGGCATATATTGCCCGCTATAGGGCGGGGAAGTCTGCCAAAAAATAGGCGCTGACTCAGCGTGCGTCCCAGGCGGTCTGTTGCTCACCAGCTGTCAGGCCGGAGTTGCCACAAAGAGATAATTACCTAATTATTTCAATGTCTCTGATTGATTTTTCATAGTTTTTTTGCTGTAATATTATTCAATAGTGTGTAGTTTGATATATTTATGTAATAAAATGAGTGAATCATTGCTGTACTCAAAAATATGGTGTGCATATTGTTGATTCAATTATGTTCATCAATCAGTGAACAAATACTTTGTCGGTTATTACACTATAAGCACAGGTTATATATAAGTATCTGCATGTTTTGTTCACTATAACGAACCACTAAGTAGCTATTATGAGTCAAAAAGTAACGAGGAGTGACCGCCGTGTACCAGCCAGCCACTCCCGCCCTCCCTCAAGTCATCTGACTCACCCACATTCTCCTCCCACAATACTGTTTTTGCTATAATTCACTATATACAGACGTTATATATAAGTATCTACATGTTTTGTTCAACATAACTGTACATCTAAGCTTGTATGGTGAGTAAAGGCACAAAGACGTAGGACCTCACACAGTCAGCTGATGGCTGCCGCCCTCAAGGCCAGACGCACTAATATTTCTCCTCCAACAATACTGTGTGGTGTTATTACGCTATATACACACATTATATATAAATATCTACCTGTTTTATTCACCATACTTGTACAAATAAACTGGTATGGTGCCCAAAGACCATCGTGGTAACCAGTAAACAACACCGTCGTCTGCACGGTGGCGTCGTGCAGACGACGCCACCGCCCTCACCAAAATGGCGGCTCCCAACCTTCTCTTGCTGTTTATACCCTCTATACACACGTTATATATAAGTATCTACATTTGTGCTCACCATAGCGAACCACTAAGCTGGTATGGTGAGTGCAGTCAATAAAAGGTGGCTCACACACAGTCAGAAGACATCGCCACCACCCTCCCTCCCACAGCATTACTCCTCCCTCCATGGCGCACAGCGCTAAATATCACCAGAATCCTGCTATTATCAGAACCCTGGTCAGTTTTATCACAGTCAGGGGTCTTCTGTAATAATATCATCGCTACATAATAGCATGAACAAGTATATTTTGGCATTTTTAGGCGATGCTGTGGTCACAAGCTGAACAGCAGTGCTGTTAGCTCATGCTGCGTGCATCAGGCTTGGTTGCTCACTCAGTACTGAGGCCAATAACACCTGGGAGTTTGGCCCACGATTTTTTTTTAAAATGGCGTCTGTTTACAAGAGCCCTGATGAAGGTGTGGTGAACCCCATGTATCCGCGGGCCGTTTAAATCTTGCGTAGTACTCCAACACGTCATATGACGTGATGCGCAGTTGACTTGAACAACGTCCAACACGTCTTATGACGTGATGCGCACTTTAAGGGTTAACTGTGCGACCTCCAATTATGACACCCCCCCCCCCCCAGTGTGCAAGAAATAAATTCTCAGGAAAAAATTCTTTGTTCTGAAAGTTTCAAAAACACCTCCCTGTATATGGGTATAGCAACGGAATGTCGAGATTGTACTTACTTTGGCTGCTATGGGGTCCGTAAGGTGGCACGTGACGTCGTCATTCCCCATGCGCTCGTGCTGTAAGCTCCCGGGGCTGGTGGGGCGCCTGGGGCAGGATGCGCGCGCTGCCACGAATATATTTTTGTTCATTTTTTGTGTACAGTTCCAAATACATTTTATTAGATTTTACGTGCCGATCCAATGTATGGTGAACACGTACACTATATTATGGCAGTAGAACATCCGTACCTTTCGTAGACACTGTGTTACGTGCATCACAAACAAGTACACTTACCCTGCACTTATTTCCAATTTATCACACTGATATATTTATATTTACATTATATATACACACTGTACAGTATCACACACTATATACACACATTATACACACACTCAGTACTCCGCGAGTGTGTGATATGCTGCGAAACAGCCAACGGGGCAGAGGGGCACCTTGCACTCCACGCACCAGATGCTGATGCATCTTCGTTTTTGTGCTCTGTAGTGTTCCTGCATACTATGCACTCACGTTTACCCTTCTTCAATGATGCTGTGCCTGGCATATACTCCAGCATGTGTACCCCGAAGTTCTCATTTCCCCGCAGTCTGTCTGAAGCTGCATGTGGCATTGCACCCCGCGCGGTACTACGGAGCCCTCCCTACCATACTTTACCAGCAGCTGTGACACAACGCTGGCACTGAAGGTACGTATAGACGGTTTCCTGCCGGACTTCACTAGGTACATATTGAAGCAGTTGAGCACTGCAACATCCATGAGGTGGAAGAAGAACTTTTTCGTCCACTTCACATACGCCCACGCATTCCACACCACCAAGCATCATGTCACATTTATTGACAAGGCGCATGTTCACGTTATAGTCTATGACAGTCCGGCTTATACATGGGGTTGCGTGTCTGAAAGTGGACCTTCCCACTGTCCAACATGGCACCGGTGTGAATCGTCATCAGCATATTCAGCTCGCGTCTGTCCTTTCACCGCACTGACAGTATATTGTCACACTTGCGCAGCTGGCACTCACCCATGGATATACCTATACCGAACACTGGCATTTCCCTCCTGAGGACCTTCACAGTGCCACATACGCTGGTGTTGTGGGCAAGGAGGTATCTGGTCAACAGAGGGCTGGTGTAATAGTTATCGGTGAACAGTATATGCCCCCTGTTCAGCAACGGTTCCATCAGGTTTTTTTACAACACTACAGGAGAACCTGTGTTCATCTTGAGCTGGTATGTCGACGTTTGTACCAGAATACAAGATCATGTCCAGGACGATACCAGTCTCACAGTTGCACAGCACGAAAAACTTCAGTCCAAAACGGTGCCACTTTGAAGTGATGTACTGCTTGAATGCCAGTCTGCCCTTGAACAGTACAAGCGACTTGTCGATAACGACATTCTGTCCAGGTACAAAATAATCCCTGAACTTCCCTCGCAGGCTGCTGAATACCTTGCGTACCTTCCACAGTCTGTGTCTGTCTGTCCTCATTTGCCTTATTCTCGAAATGCAGGCACCTGAGAATCAAGAGGAACCTATCCCGCGACATATACCGGTTGAACACGGGCGATGGAACAAGGCTGTCTTTGTTCCAATAGTCCTGGACAACAGCTTTCTCAGAGTACCTAATCATCATGCATAGTGCCTCATCATCATGCATAGTGCCAGAAACACATACATCTCGTCGATTGTCGTATCCTTCCATCGCGTGAGTCATGAGGCAGGTAATATACCGCCGTCTATGAGGGTGTGGGCGTACGTGTTTGTCTCGGTCACAAGATGCGTCATGAAGACGTTGTCAAAATATGCCTGGAAATAGTCCATGTCCGCCATATCATCACCGGTATATGGGAATAAAGCTGTAACACCAACATCGGTATCATCAAACGTTGGTATTTGAGGGACAAATGTGACGCAATCCTCCCACACAAGTACACCAGGGGGTTTGGTGTTGGCGCCAACACCACGGCCAACACCACCACGAGCACCAAAACCACGGCTATGTCGTCTGCTGCTGCTGCTGCTGCTGGAGCTGCGTGAGGGTATGCTTGGTGCTGAGGCAGATTTTCGTATCATAGGCCTACCACAAACATGTGATGTTGAGGGCCCACTGTCGTCATGCTGTGAGACACACTGCCGCCTGCCTCGATGTGTTGCTGAGGCAGCAAAACTCCGCCTGGTACCACCCCTGCTGCTAGTACTAGGGTCGTCCACACTACTCGTATCGGAGCCAATGTCACTGAAGCCCGAGAAAGATTCGTCACATGTACTGTCACTGAATAAACTAGCGTCTGGGGACATACATTATACTGGTGATGATAACGGTGTTAACCCAGGGCGGCGAGACAGGCCGGGCGAGGAGCGTGTACCGTACACGCTCGCCACATCATCCACTTTCGTCTCTCCCTCACTCGTATCAGACCTCTGTGTCAGGCCTTTCTCTGGATCATAGTCCAGGTCATCATCCATAGCTCCGTCGTTGTACATAATATCGCGAATCTCCTCCTCAGAGAGTTGTTTTCCATGACCGCGGACGTGGTCATGGATGACGTGGAGCGGGAGCTCATTGACGATGCATCAGACATGGTTGCTGCTTGGGAACTGGGGCTCCCCACGACCGCGGGACATGCTGGGAATTTTTTTCAAGATGGCGGATGATCACTGGGGCCCCCAGCCATCCATTCCATACCCGCGTCACCGCGCGCCACTTTTAAATGAAACGTGAAAAATACAAATACCTGGAGGCGCGTAGTGCACCCCAAGTGTGAGTGCATTGTGCAGTTAAAGGGTTAATGCAGGTGGTTTCTTTGATGGTGTCCCAACTGCATTCCTTTTCTAGACAAAAGTATGCAGTTTGAGATGCTCCTTTTGCCTCTTCATTTCCCTTCCTCTTCATTCTGATACCTGCGGTGCTCCCTCCTTCCTGGTAAGTGCCCTTTTCATCCTTCCCCATGGTCAGTTAGCTTAACCGCCGTGCAGCTCCGAGTTTATTGTGAAATTCCCCCGGTGCGCATGAAATAAAGTGTTCCCCAAAAATTCTTTTTTCTTCGTAAAATGATAAATTCCCTTCCCTGAACATGTCAATGTAAAAATAAATACCAAATTCCACTTACTTTGGCTGTGGGGACGTGGACAAGGTGAGCTGTGACGTCATCAGGGCCTGGTCGCCCGTGCAGGAATCGCCCAGACACGGTCGCGCGGGCCATTCAAGCACTGGGTGTTGCCACAAATATATTTTCAATTATTTATTTTATGTATTTCCAATGAGGTTATATTTGTTTTTTTTATCGTATATGATGCATATTTGTGTCCTTTACAATATGTATACAGTAGAACGTTCATAATGTTCCATGGAACTGTGATACATGTCAGTAATGTGCCCACAATAAATGTTTATTGTCGCAATATTACCTGTTAAAAATTCATTAAAATTATAATAAGTACAGTTTCACACACTATTTACACAGTAACACACTGTATTACACACTCAGTACTTCGGAAGTGAGTAATAATCAACTAAGTAGCCCATGGTACACAGCGCGACTTTGCTCTCAGTGCACCAGGTACAGATAAATTTTTGTTTCCTGTTTCTTCATTCTGTGTGCTTGCAAATAACGCACTCACGTACACCCTTGGCTTTAGTACTTGTAGGTGGTATGTAGCCAAGCTTGTGAAGCATAAGGTAGTATTGAAAAGATTATAGGAAAAGATCAATTTGTAAGGTAGTCTTGAAAAGATTGCTTTGTATGGTCCCACACAGGAAGAGATTCAGCTTACCTCAAAGAGTGTCCGTCAGTCAGAAAGAGATTCAGCTAGCCTCAAAGAGTGTCCGTCAGTTAGGAAGAGATTCAGGTATTCTTGAAAATATCAATGGAAAACACCACCATGGAAGCCGCTAACACTGTTCATCTATGCTACTTGTATCAGGTGCATCATCACTGAACGCAGAAAACGATTCATATATGTATCATCTAAATAAATTGGAGATAGCATAGGATTGCAAGGGTGACGCTCAGAGCTACAACTGGATACGCTCGCTGTATCATCCTCATAGGTGCTGTATCACTTGCATCCGACTTTTGTGTTAGGTCCTTATTGTGCCTAGCTTCACCAATATTATGACCCTTATGCTCTTCAAACAATAAGGTTTGAATTTCACCGACAGAGCGTTATCTTTCAACACCGCATCGGACAGGTGTTTGGGAGCCAGAGGCGCATGTGCCACCCATGGTTGCTCATTCAGAACTAACCCAGACAGCAGCCCTAGGGCATTCTGGGATTTTTTTCCAAGTTGGCTGCCTCTCACTGGAGGTCCTAAGAGTTCATTTCGTACACAACCAACCTCGTACACATTTAGAATTGGTACCGAAAAATCAAAAATAGTTTTCTCAGTTGGCACAGTTTCCCGCCTACCGAGAATACTTGGTTGGCGCAGTTAAGCGGTTAAGGGAATCACACAAGGGGCTTCTGTCAGAAAGCCAGTGTTAAATGTAATGGAAAGCCAATTTCTGGGTGAGCTCTGGTGGCTCCTTGACACACTCCCTTTCGCAGGGAGTCAGGCTTCTGCTTCAGTGGGGTTATAAAAGGTGTAGTTGTTTGTTCACATAGTTTAGGGAATTGTATGGGAATTTTCAAGTCTGCAGGTATTGGAAACAGCCAGCTGTGGTTTGTTCTGCCTTGCTGATTTTCTGGTGCTTCCCTTGGTAGTAGCATAAATGAGTAACTTAATATATAAATGCCACAGACCCCTTTACCTCTGTGAGGGGACCAGGTTCTGAGGGACCCAGTGCGCCAGAGAGTTCCACGACTCATGGCACCTAGTAGATGGCACCCACATCAGATATGGTAGCTTCAGGGAGCTTCTGGGGCTCGCCCAGAAAATGGTGTTTCATTACATTCAACGCTGGTGTTTTAGAATTAGTAAAATTATGTATCTTTATCTACAGCAGAAAAGACCTACTGATGGGGCAAATGTTGCTGCGAAGAGAAGGAAAGTCATGGAGAGTTGTGATAAAGGATACAGTGAAGCTCAAGAGGTCCCATTCACACACATTCTTTACAACAGGAAGTTCTGCGAAAGATTTGCCCCTAATCACATATTAAATAAAATTAATAAAGGTTAGTAATAACATACATATAATGTGTGTGTTTGTGTGGACTCACCTAATTGTACTTGTGGGGATTGAGCTTTGGCTCTTCGGTCCCTCCTCTCAAACATCAGTGAGCCTGTGTACAGGTTCTTCAGCTTATTGGGCTCTGTCATATCAACATTTGAAACTGTGTATTAAGTCTACCTGCACCTAGTGGAGTGCAAGTGGTAGACTAGCTAGGAGTCTACTTCTTCCTAGTACAATCAACTTGATAACTAATTGGATACTGACAAAATTATCTCTGATGTTTCTGTGGCTCATTTTGGTACTAAGTTTCCACCAGTGCCCTCCCCTGATCATTTAATACCAGTAGCCTTTCCTTGTAGCTCGTACTTCTCAACTAGGGGACTAGTCTGGTGGCATTCCTGTGAACACTGTGTGTGTATAATTACCAAAGTTTTAGGTTGAGAGCTACACTCAAGGTGTCCCATCTTGCCAATAGAGTACTTTGTCATGTAATGTTTGGAAACTGCTGAGAGTTTTGGCATCCACCACCATTTCACTTGTTGCAACATTCTACCACTGTTTGCAGAAAGAGAACTTTATAATATTTTCTGTGGGGAGCCCTTTCAGCTCCCAGGAGTTATCGGGCTAATATGCGATACATAAGATCAGGGCTTTAGGCAATGGAGTTCAGCCTACCGAGAACCACGAGCCAGAACCGGGCCCCCTCAGAGAGGCACAGGGAGCAATAGCCGTGGAAAACCCCCCCTGTGGTTAGGGGTTTTCCTTATCTGCCATCGATCAGGGTTAGGCACCCAGAAAGGTAGGCATAACAAAACAGACACCACATGGTAAGAAAATTGTAACCGAACAGTGAACAGAGAGGTAGAACTCCCTCCAATCCCAAGGAAACAAGCAAATGTCATGTTTTGCCGCCATGCCGCTCGTCCACGCAGCTCCTTCCCTTCCCAGGAGGGGGATAGGGTAGTTCCTGACCCCATACTCCAGCTGCCCAGCAACTCCAGTTCATTGGTTAAAGCGATCCAGGGTGGACGTTATCTCTGGTCTTGGGGCTAGCTGGGGCCAAGGCCAGAGATGGCCTTGGCCCTAGCTTTGTTTTCCCACATTTCCCTCTTGCCTTCTCCTTTGTTTCCTCACATTTGCCACCATGATTTCGGCTCCCTTGCAATGTCAGCCGCTTTGATTTTTGTCAAAACTTTTGTCGGCCTTCTTTTGTTTTGGCGGTCATTTTCGTCTACGGGTCGTTTCCCCCGCCTGGCCATCAGGGCGGCGCAGCAGTTTGTATGTGCCTGGGAGTGTGCGCTCGCGTTTTTGGGGCATTTTTTCGCCTCGGTCTGTTTTTTCTCCTCCCTTTGCCTTTTCTTTGTTATGTTCTTTCTCCTGGGGCGCTCTCCCTTTTCTATTCCTCTGGGAATGTTTGGGTGATGGTTTTTCACCCAGTTTTGTGTTTTACTGTCTGTACAGTATTTGGGTTCTGGGCCCTGGCTTTTGGGCCCAGTAATTACCTAAGTATAGTTACAAGATGAGAGCTATGCTCGTGGTGTCCCGTCTTCCCAGCACTCTTTGTCATACAGTATAACGCTTTGAAACTACTGACGGTCATGGCCTCCACCACCTTCTCTCCTAACTTGTTCCAACCGTCTACCACTCTGTTTGCGAAAGTGAATTTTCTTATATTTCTTCAGCATCTGTGTTTAGCTAGTTTAAATCTATGACCTCTTGTTCTTAAAGTTCCAGGTCTCAAGAAATCTTCCCTATCGATTTTATCAATTCCTGTTACTATTTTGGCACAGTGTCAAACAGGCACAGTGTCTGTGCCTGTTTGCTCTGCTTGCTCCCACGGCTTTTCACCCTCAGTTTTCAGCCTGTTTCTGGCTGTTTTGACTGGGGGTTCTGTCTGGGTCTTGTGTTTGGCCCTTCCTTCTATGGTGCATTTCTGCTGGCAAGTATGGTGATTTGGAATCCCCCCGGGTTCCTTTGGGCTCTTTGGTTTCGTTCCAAAGGTTTTTCTTTCTCTTGGGTTTTCCCTTGGAGGTGTGGGTGGATCTTGGTGGTTACCTCCTGTGTGTCCCGGTCTTGACTCTTCTGGAGTTCGGTGGCTTCCTGGCTTGCAGACTGCATTTCTTGGGTCTTGGCCTTTGCTTGTCGAAGTGGGCCTATGGTGCAGTTTTTGTGCCGGTGCCTCCTCCGAGGCCATCTTCATCTGGTCGGCTTGGTACTCGCTCTGCTCTCAATTCTGCTTCTTGCTGTTTCTTTTTCTTCTTCTATTTTCTATTTTTTTTCTCCTCGAAAGGGAAGGCCAGCCCCTTGCAGGTCACACCATTGGCCTGGTGCTGGAGGAGGGGGGAGGCTGGCTCTGTTTGCCCACGCTTGGTCTCGCGATTCGTGGGCGGTTTGGGTCATGTCCTCCAGCCTGTGATGGCGTTGGGCAGCTCCTCCTCCTTCGGGGGGTTCGGGGCTGGCGGAGCAGGCTTCTTTCCCTTTGCTCCATCAAATCATCTTGTTCCAGTCCCACATCGAAACTGTGCGGATCATCGGTTCTTTCTGGACGACTGTCCCAGATCCGGCTTCTTTTGGGGCCGGGTTGTTGGGTGGTGTCTCTGGCCCTTCGGGACGTGTGTTGGCCTGTCCTGCTTCGTGTGGGGTTCTAGGTCTGGTTTCGTTGGTGGTGGGGCGGCTTGCTTTTTGTTTTTGTTGCCTTTCCTTTGGTTAGCTTCTGGCATCTCGCGTTTCTTGCGTCTTTCCTCCACCCGGTGCGGGGTGACTTTTCTACGTCTACTCAGTATTTGGGTGTTAGCCCTCTTCAACAACTGGTTGGTGTGGGCTCTCAGCCATTCTGCTTGTCTGCTCTCCAGAGGGGTGGTTCTTTTCCAGTAAACTGGGTTTGTGTTCCTGGTGTTGGAAATTTCCAACACGAATACATAACATAACACTGTTGTATTATTAGTAATTATTACTAAAATCTACTAATTACTGTAGTAACTAAAATTAACCAACAGTAGGGTTCACATGAACTAATAATTGTATCTGTACAATAATGCTAGAATTCTTACGTAACCAGACACCAGTATTGCGTCAGATTCTACCAAAATAAACACATTTATATCCAGTGTGTTAGAGAATTGAGTTTGATTCTCTAAAAACAACAGTATTCTGTGTGATAATTATTTACCGATAACCTGACTCCCAAATAATGCCAAATCGAGCGTTTCTAGTTACAACTGTTATCTGGTAATAAATTTAACGTCACGCGTGAATGCCATGGAGAGAAATTAAAATCATCTCCATTTCTTGTTTACCATCGTAAAACGAGAAAGTAATAATATTTAACTCCCCAGAATTATAACCCAGTCTTTATCAAAGCATTTTAGCCACAACTGCGAGAAATAATATTATTCGTGGTGAATAATTTGTATGGCGAATGCGGGACGCGGGCAGGGAGAGACGCCATTAACGAGAGAGCGTGTGGAGGCGTCGGTGAGAGGAAAGGCGCCAGAGTGCGGTGTGAAGACTTGTTGCGGAATTGAGCAACTCGTTTGGTGTCAGTGTCATAGGATACATTGTGGTGAATCGTCAGCAAGAATTAACCTGACATTCAGCCCAGAACTTGTCAATTTGTTCTGTGTAATCCATTGTGACCAGCCAGAGAAGCGCGTCGACATCTAGGCCAAGCTAGCCACCACGTGTTCGCCATTGTGACGCTAGAGCCTGGGACGCGAGTTTCGGCAAGCTTCAACTTATACAGTGCCCTATTAGCTAAGTACAAAAATAATTCCCTTTTGATGCATCATTAGAGATTGTATATAGCAGGGTAGCTTGTCGTCACGCCGAGCGACATAAATAAAACACATGTTAGTATATTTTATCACTCTCCATTCTCAATTTCTTGAATATAGATATTTAGCAGCCTAATATGTTGCTACGTAATATATCTTAATTTACAGCTTGCGTGTGAAGAATTCCCCGAGCTGTTACTTTACCCGTGTTATTCATCTCCCAGTGTTCCACGAAGAATTCCGGACATTCCGAGGATGATTTGTGACTGATGTCTTCGAAAACGTCTTCAAGCTAAGACTTTTTCGCATTTCTTTATTATTCAAATTATCTGTATTTAATTGTCATTGCGGATTACTGTGCACTGGAAGTAACACATATTATTTTAATCATTAATTTCTGTTATTCATGATCTATATTCTTTTTGGTGACAAATTTACTATTGATTCTCTAATTGGTCATAAGATTAGGTTATTACACAATGAACTGGTGTACGAACCGCACTAGTTCCTAGACATATATGAAGTTCTAGCAATAACCCCCAAATGTAGGTGTTTGAGGCTTTGATTCAATTAAATTATTTATACAGCCCATTAATTATTCAAGTGATTATATTTCTAGTATTTATCCATAGTTACTGGTTCCTCTAGGAATTTCAAATGATCACATATTTATTAGTTTCCCTCTTTACTAGAAAAGCGGGTGGTCCTTCGTAATTGATTTCATTACTTTAATAATTAAATAAATAGAGTCAAGCCCCAAATGTCCCACATTATGTCTGCTAAAGAGACACCTGGTGTGCTGCAGGGCATTTCCATCTGGTTCCGTCCCAGGTTCAGAACTGGCTGGGCCTTATGTGGGACTCTCGGACCTCTTCAATGTCTCTCTCCGGGGGGCATTGCTGCGGCTGCAGTTCTGCCTTCAGCGTCCCGGGTCACTCGGCAGTTGCTTGAGCAGTTGTGCAGGAGTTGGAACTTGGCTGTGCAGGTCAACCCTGGGTCGGGTTTGGCTTCGGCATCTTGTTCCATTGGGGACACCCCTTCCACCTCTCTCATGATTGCTGGGTTTGACCTCCTGGGGCCATCTGTCGGTTGCTTCGTCACCGGCTTCTTCTTCAGGGTTTTCGGGGCTCACTGCTTTGGCGCCTACCCGAGCCCCTCGCGCGATGTTTTCACTGATGCGTCATCTCTCGACTGGGGGTTTGGGACCACTGCTCACCAGGCCAGCCAG